CTGTAGAACTGGAGGAACGGGTCAGGACATGACTGGGTCAGCAGATCCTGCTTCATGTGACACCTGCTGAAAAACTACAAACACCTGAACAGGAAATGACTCGGATCAAAATAAACTTCACTGAGAAGAAAAATACTTAGTCATAAAATCTCACAGTAATCAGTAAAAGTACTTTTACACACTGTGAACTGTTGAACTAAAGCTGAGTAAATTAATTTATACATTTACTTTGAAAAATACTTTAAATGTTTTACATTTCATCCAACATCCATCATCCAACCATCATCCACCCATCCATCTCCATCCATCCATCCATCATCCAACCAACCATCCATCCATCATCCACCCATCCAACCAGCCATCCATCCATCCACCTATCCAACCAACCATCCATCCATCATCCACCCATCCAACCAACCACCCATCTCCATCCATCCATCCACCCATCCAACCAACCATCCATCCATCATTCACCCATCCAACCAACCATCCATCATCCACCCATCCATCCAACCAACCATCCATCTCCATCCATCCATCCAACCAACCATCCATCTCCATCCACCCATCCAACCAACCATCCATCCATCATCCACCCATCCAACCAACCATCCATCCATCTCCATCCATCCGTCCTTCTTGTTCCAGAGTTGGGTCTTGTGGGCAGCAGCTTGATCAGGGAGGTCCAGACCTCTTCATCTCTTCTGGGAGGACTCCAAGGTGTCCTCAGGCCAGCTGAGAGTCAGTGTGTCCTGGGTCTTCTTCAGGGTCTCCTCCCAGTCAGACCAGTCTGAAGCTCCTTCCTATGGAGGCATCTTTACCAGATGAACCACCTCAGCTGGTTCCTCTGGTTGTGGAGCAGCAGCAGCTGTACTCTGAGTTTCTCCTGGAGAACTGAACATCTCAGCCTGTCTCTAAGAGTCCAGCTACCCTACAGAGAGAACTCATTTGGATCGCTTGTACCTGAGTGGTCCAGGTTCCTGGCCATCGGTGAGGACAGGAATGTAGACAGACAGGTGAACAGAGAGCTTCTCCCTACAGCTCAGCTCCCTCTGAACCCCAACAGACCTGTACCACAGAGTCCACAGTCCTGAAGCTGCAACCATCGGTCAGTCTCTCCATTCTTCCCAGAACCTCAGCCCCGACCCACAGAGAGCAACCCACCCTTCTCTGACTGAAGACCCTGAACCCAACCAGGATACAGACAACTGAAGGATTGTTGTGGAGCTTTGAGATGTTGTTACAGGATCCTGCTCTTGTGACTGACATGTAGAAAAGGACATGTGACATGTAGAAAAGGACATGTGACATGTAGAAAAGGACATGTGACATGTAGAAAAGGAC